GCAAATCAATCACCGAGATTCGAGAACAGAGTAACAGGTGGATAGGACACTTTAAGGAATTCTTAAATATACCAGCTTCGTTGAATCCCACAGACATCGAGGCAGCACATACAGACCTTCTTATAGATGTCACTTTATCGACAACGGAAGAAATCAGGACGGTCGTCAGACAAGTCAAGCGTGAGAAGTCATCAGGTCCTGACAATATACCACGTGAAGCACTGAGGTCAAACATAAAGGTAACTGCAAACATACTATACACCCTATTTAAGAAGATTTCAGAATAAAACAAGTGCCGATGGACTACAAAGAAGAACACCTCATCAAGATACCAAAGAAAGGAAGTCTGAGCAAATTTGTGAACTACGGAGAAACCACACTACTGTCAGTACCAGAAAACGTTCTCAACAGAGTGCTGTTGAACCAGATGAAATATTCAGTAGATGCACAACGTCGAGACCAACAATCTGGATTCCGTAAGGATCGGTCGTGCACGCAACGGATCATCGTTGAGAAATCGATTGAATGAAATTTGTTACTATGTATCGAATTCCTTGACTATGAGAAAGTGTTTTAAAGTGTGAATGGGAGAACCTTTTGGAAACTTCTTTGATGCTATAGAAAGGGTATCTGAGAAGATCGTCAATATCATATAGAATTCATATGACGAACTACATTGTAATGTCGTGCAAAGAGGTCTGTTGATAGACGCTTTCTAAGTGAAGACCGGAGTCAGACAAAATTGATTGCTCTCCCGCTTTTTCTTTCTGGTAGTTGACTGGAATATAAAGACCACGACATCCGAGGGTAAGGATGGAAAATAGTGGAAAGATTGGATGCAACTAGATGATTCGGACTTCTCAGATAATTTTGTTCTTCTACCTCATACACATCAACAAATACAGATAAATGCAACTAGTGTAGCAGGATGTAACGCATCAGTAGGCCCCAATAAACGCAAGGGAAAAACCAAGACCCTCAAATACAACACGGAGAGCACCAATTCAATTACACTTGAAACTCTAGTAGAGGTGGAAACTTTCATGAATCTGGGGAACATCATCGATGACAAGGAGGTCACGATGTATACGTAAAGGCAAAGGTTGCCAAAGTAAGGGCAGCATTTTTACAGTACAAGAACATATACGACTCAAAACAACTGTCAACCAATATCAAAGTGTGAACGTCAAGATGTTTCTACTCTACGAAGCTGAAACTTCTAGAACTTGTAGTTGTATTGGTCCTAACCACACAACTCTTAAAGCTGAACATGAGATAACTGGGGAAAGATATCCAACATTTAACTTTTTTAAAACCTATCAGACTAAGTGAAGGTTTAGCGACGTAATCATGCAAGCAAATCATTAGCGTAAGCATTCAAGCATATCTCCTGCATACTGAAAACATCACTGTTGAATGTACCCCAACACTGACAAACGTCCAATCCATTATCATAAACATTAGTTGGTAGTTGCACTCCCCTTAGTCAAAACTTATGCTCCCGCTGATAATCACAAGAACAGTACTCACTGTTTATCATTCTATGAAGATTTATCTAGCCGGTAGCAATGTGCAACTCCACATCACCTATGTTTGTGGCACATAAGCTCAGTTAATCTCAAAGCCTAATAATCACTCAGGTTTGTACAAATCAATCTCCATATTATCTCAAACTTCATACTTGCAACTGAATTGTATGCATCATTAACCAGTATGTATGAATATAGATAAATGGTTTATTGAATATCAGAACATTGATTCTGTTAGCAATCTGTTCGAAATTCACAGAATTATCACTTTTGACATATTGTATGAATTTTTGATAACCATCCATATGTATCAGTGTTTTTAAATCCTATTAAGGTTAGACAATAATGAGGTCGATAAAATTTCTACGCAACTAAATAAAGAGTATTGAACTAAATGAACTGACCGGAACATTGGTTGTAATTCATCCTCTCCGCGTTTATACTTTTGTTCCTTCAGTTAGCCTACTGATAAAAATGCATTCGGAAATAAACTCATACGGATAGTTTACGGGCATAAACGTTAGCTGACTTCATAACTTAAGCCAGAAACAATGCAAGTATCAACATTTCTGTCATACTAATCATTTTCCTATTTCTTGGCACAAATTACTTATACTGTTTACAACTTGAGCCATTAACCAAAGGTTATTGCTTTGCATCTTAATGTGACTTGCTAAAATATCTCCATACTAAATCGTTCTTCGTCGTTACATTCATGCTTTACCAGACGTATAAATAATTTTCGTGTAGATTTTCACTTTAAGCGTGTTAAGCACGCAATTAAATATTTTGAAATAAATGCACGTATTTCCTAACCAGTTGCTGCTGCCTTCTTTTTGACTCATCTTTCAGTTTATTAACACTAAGAGGATTCTTATGATTCTATTGGCGACCTCCAATAAGCGATAATCCCACTCAATTTGGTGTTGAATCACTGTCACGTCCATTCTGGTGGACAGTAGTGTAGTTGTATTGATTCCTAACCACACAGTCCTCAAAGCTGGACATATAATTAATTAGAAGATTCTGTACTGTTGGTTATTATCTTAAGCCCATATACCTTATTCTAGCTTTCGGACAGGCCAATCTACTCATTCTACTTCAGTCATATTTTGATCTTGTTAATTATTCGCTTATTAATCTTGACTGTTTTTATATGAGCACATATGGGTGTGTACACTTCTTATCTTATTACTCATCACATGTCTGTAACTTACTTTTGTGTAACTATGAATATTGATTAACGCTTGATTGAATGGAGTTGGCTGACCCGCCGTCTCCACTGCGCGTTGTTTCGCTTCTCTCTGTTCCATTCGCTTCATGTACAAAATACATGTGTTCAAAAGTCCATTCTCGTTATTTGACTTATTTAATTTCGTCATTGACTAATGCGATTTAAGTCGATGATTATATACGAGGATAGGCGACATATATATTTCGACAACGATCATTCGTGCGATCTACTTGGAGTCAGATCTCGGGCCACTAAAGTGGAGAGCCCTTCGACAACATCGTCCGATCTAAATGACGACGAAATAAAGGTCCCACAATTCACTTTCAGCACGAAGAGAAGGCCAACAATTAATTAATGGCATTGGTTAGTACCGTAGACGTTGTCATTCTGCATAACTTATCCCTTTAAATAATAAAAAATATATTATTCTATCTCCAGAATAAATGTGATCCTTAGAAAAGCTAGACATCATATTGCTGAAGGTTATGTCAGGATGAGTCAAGGTAAACAGTGATGGGACTTACACGTAGAATCCTGTAGACTGAATATGACCACCTTCTCACCCGCATCCCACCCGTTAGTTGTATTCAAGCATAATATTCGGGAAACCTCATTCTTTATGACTTTGAGTTGCCTGTTTGTGGCGCAGGCTGATTCGTGGCGTGCAAGATCTTGTAGAATAAAGAACCCCAGTGGGCAACCACATTAAGTTGTGTACAGACCTCCCAGTCCTCATGGAGAAGATTGTCTCTTAGAGCTGACAGGTTCAACCATTTTGTCTATTTCACCAATAAAACTGAAGCTTATGACAGAAAAATAACGTTTCTTCAGAAAAGCTAGGAATGAAACTTTTTTTATTAGAAATTATTTGCTCGTGAAGAAGCAGCAATCCGGTAATATCATCACTTCCGTTGTGCTTGCGTTCAGCAAAGTTGACTTTGAGAAGATAGAAACCTCTTTAGATTAGTGTATGAGTGTATCTTTGAAGAGCTGAGCGTTAAGATAGGCATTTTGTAGGTGAATATAACAAGACTTTCAGTGTACGATACAATCTCACGGAGGACCACGTAGATTCGTCAAGGTCGATAATGTTTTGTGCATCTACTTAATGTGCTACCAACCAGGAGAGCAAACATAGAACAGCCCTGTTTTCCATTCCAAGTTTCAATGTTGTTGCGAGATAGGGACAGGCCGATTTTTCACCAGCTCCTGGTTCTTGATTTAAGATGTCTATGTTTCAAATTATCCTATGTGATGAGTATTATTTGGATTACTTAGTTCAGTAAACTTGAAACAATCATATGCTGGCAGTTTATATTTTATATTTGAAATCTATGTGTGTCCTTAATCTGTTTATCTGAATAAGTCTTATATTAATGAACTGGTAACCTACCCATAAATGGTTCATGATCCTCCCTGTTTTCCCTTGTTTTTCTCAGTCCATGAATGAAAAATTCAGTTTTCGTACTTAAGGTTGGTATCATGCCGCCCTATTTATCCACCTCAATTTCAATCGCTAGTCCGAATTTGTTGGTATGAAATGCATCGGGAGTGACGGCCGTCATTTGAAAACAGAGAAGTTTGTTTTGATTAACTGGGGTCTATTCTTCCATATTCTTAAAGCACCCTATCATTTTCGTCCTGAAATCTGAGAGGAAGACCTAAGAAGTCTTTTAGGTTCATGAGTGTCAAGATATTGCCATGGGACTTGGTCGATTTCTTGAGTTTCTGAGTACGTTATGATTGAATTCCCTTTTTTAACCTTTTGATTGCAACCAACATATCTACAACCGAGCTGTATGACGGTTGCTGATTCCAGAAACCTTCGTGCCCTTGGTTAACTGCACCCATTTAAAACAAAGATGTATAAACACGTAAACGATGATAAAATTCACTAACGCTCAGGCACTGGCGTGCTGAGACTACTTAAGACGAAAGACTGCCAGACCTAAAGGTATGCAACAATACCATGAAGTAAGAGCAGATATACCATCTAGTTTACATTAGATCGTCACAAAGATACTAGGTTCCAGGATTAAAAAAATCCCGAAAATAAGTGGTTCTGTTAGTCTTCAACATCGATGCTGATCTCACTAGTTTTATTGAACACACCCTATCTGAAGGTTGCACCGTGCTACCTATCCTTTGCAATTACTAACCAGCTTAGAGTAAACGCTTCTCGACACAGATAGATTTTCAAATGAATGTTTAAACCCCTTAGTTTCTGATTTTCAATTTGACTAGGTTGTTATTCTTCGATTATAAAGGTGTTGCATGTAAAGGCGTTTTTTTAAACCCCGAATGCATGAGATACCTTTAATGTTAACAACTGAGAATCTTTTTAGAGCCCATAAACAGAAGCAAACAATTAGTTGAACAATATTTTTGTCGATGAAAATGGTAGACACGTTGGTTCATTCAGGTATATTGAATAGTGAATGTTGGATTTAATCACTAACACATTGGCGTTACAATAAAATATATGTTACTAACGACCTTGATTACTATAGTATTAGGATTTTCCCTAAATTGAATGTCCGAAAGAGATACACTGCCTGATATTTTGTACAGTGATCTATCTCAAGCTTTCAAGTACATTGACAAAGATGGAGATGGAACTTTGGGTGTTGACGATATATCCTACTTACTAACAACTCTCGGTATCGGTTGTAATGAAAACAGTATTTTAGTAAAGTGAAATGAGAAATACTGTAATGGCATCTTTAACAGACAATTGTTAGGGATTTATCTGATTGCGAGGATTCTATGAGGCTCCCAAAATTTATTGAACTCTTAGGTCGTGCACTGGAGAGTCTTGATGAAAACCAACCAGTGAAGACACTATTTCGGTTTGCATTTATGCGTAAAATTTTCTATTTGTTTATGTGTGTGTCATTTTAAACTAATATATGATAAACGTAAAACATACCAAATGCTTGACCACATCAATTATCTTTTGACGATTCTGCATCATCTAATTTATTTCTTTGAGACCCCTTCTTGTTTCCTCACTACTTTAGGTCTTTGGTAATGTCTAATGGGTGGTAGTTTAGATGGTTGATTGCCTAATCTTGATCAATTTTTTAGTCTTTTGTGAGTTTGTGTATCTTGTAACCGGAATGAGTACGTCTCTGGGAAGTAGAATTTTTAGAACCACTGGGTATCAATTTGCCGAACGGAAGATTGGTCGGCTGCAATGTGAAAAATACTAACAATCAAGTGTAATTTAACTAAGATGAAATGATCTCTTGAATAACTTGATAAATAAAAGGTCGAATTATTAGGAATGCAGATAGTAAGAGAATACGTAAGTCTAACAATGAAAGGTGAAATGGAGATGATAATAAGTACGATAGTAATAATTGATTGATATATGTTAGTGATTATAGGGAAAAAGATGCGGGACGTGCATCGAGCACAAATAGTCAAAAAAGATGGTGATCTATGGGTGAATTGGGCCTTGAAACTATCCATTCAAGGAGCTGTGGTCTTCAGTGCTCAACTTTCCGTGAGTAACTTTGCGGTACATGATGCTGTTATCCTGGCAGGATGTTGTGATATAGTGAGTTGATGTACTTATTACGTTGTATTCCACTGTCAGATCATCTTTTATTTCCCATAGTTCAGAGAGAGTAATTTCTAGTATCGGGGTCTATCTTCGTAAGACTTGCTTCTTTGACTCAACACCTATTTAGTTGCTCGTCTCTGTACTTGATCTAAGAGATTTGCATTTTTGTCTCTGCACAAAGTGGAAAGTTGCATTGATTTTGGATGTGTCCATGAACTAGCATCTAAGATGTTTGTGTCCAATAGTCCTGGATTGAGCTCTAAAGTGACAACTAGCAGTGGATTTTCATATAGGATGTAATCTGCTTGTTTTCCACGGAGCAGAATGTTCATGATATGACATTTTGGCAGGTTACATTCCACCCTTTGACTATTGTCTATTCCCCTATCGTTATGAGTTCCTTCAGAAGCTCGAGCTAATTCTTTTAGCTTCTTATGGACCTCCATAGCTCGGCATCGTCAGCTTATATGAGATTCAGTGAGGCAATTTTGTCTGTAAGGCTACTAATAGAAATCAGGCAGAGTAGTGTACTAAAAGTGATTCATTATGGGACTCAATTTTAAGACTTTACAGCTTGTGAACATTTGATTTACCTTGGTGTGGGATATTCAGTTCTATGGATAATTTCGTAGCCAGGATGAAACTAAGTCAGTAAAACCCATCCTTGCAACCTCTGCTTGAGGAGTGCTTGCAGTGCTGCGTCAAATGCTGTTGCAAAGTCAACTAATACTACATGGATCAGTAACTTGTGATTCCAGTAGGCTGTTCATCTTCCTCATGCTATGGGAAGATTCGATACTCACGACTAGCCCCTTTTATGCCCGTGTTGTGCCTTAGGAAGGATGTTAATGTACTGAAGCATGTTCAAAGTATCAAGTAATCTAAGGATTTTAAAAATTAGTAAACCAGAAGGACGATTAAGTAAGATTATTAAACAGACAGACAAAGATACATTGAAAAGGTACACAGATAAAAATTTAGAATTAATCACTTCATCAGATACAAGACAACAAGTAAAACCAACTTAATAGATTTAAGTGTTATATGCTTGTTTTTATCTTAAATTCTAAAATAATTGTACAGCTTTGTAAACACGTGTCGAAAGGATTAACATGATTGAAGGTTTTTTGAAGCAATTAGCTATGATTTCTGCTTTGCCTTAGTTCTCTTTTCTCATCCGAGATGTGCTTTCTGAACTTAGGCTCGGAGTCAACATTTGCTGTTCTTTCCTATAGTTGATATACGCTAATAGTTACTGAGGATGTCTAGTTGAAATTTCTGCAAGTCGGTCTGATAATTGCTTCGCGATTTACTGCCTATCGTAAGTATTTATTTCTGATAGACTTGTAATGTTCCATAGCGTTAAGTGCTGCAAGACTGATGGTGACATTTTAGAATGATTTGCTTTGGTTGTTATAAGCATCAAACTTCACAAATAATTTGGCGATGTCTGTATTTTCCCTTTTATGGGGTTGTTCAATATATAAGCAGTCAAGTGGCTTGGAACTTTTGTAATTGACTTCATATCAGTCAGTCAGTCACAATGTAGAACTTCGTACGTACGTACATCAGTTTGAGTTGCCATATCACTTTAGCACAGAGATACAATTGTCGATTCAAATTCCATGTTGGTAGGGGTAGTAAAAGTATGAGCAGTAATGAGAAAGATTAGGGTTTGAAGATGTTATTGTAGGAGTATGATCCCGTGAAGTAAATTTGGAAAGAGAAAAAAAGGACATGAATTCAGAAGATTACGATTTGGGGGAACACAAAGAGTGAATGCACCTGCTTCATTGAAACGATTTTGAGCTATGTCAATTAAGGTCTCTGACCATCGGTTGCCATCGTCTCGCGGATCCCAACCAGGTAGTCTACACCTACCCACATGGCGCAGTCCACTTGTCAGTGACTTCATGGATTTGTGCCATGTTTTGGTCTGGCCGCCTCTAGCTTTTTCCCAACCTACTTCTACACCATAAAACATCGCTCGTCGGGCTATTCTGTGGTTGGGCATACGTAACACATGTCCCAGCCATCTCAACTGATTAAGTTTCACTACTTCATCAATTGATTTACCATCCTTAACTGGTTCCCGTTTTCTAACAACTGCATTACTTACCCGGTGGTCCCAGGATATACGGGCAATGTTTCGAAGACACATATGATCAAATACTAGTAACCTACGAATATCCTCTACTCTTACTGGCCATGTTTCACTACCACAAAGTGTGACGGAACGAACTGCTGCGCAGTAAACACGTCCTTTAGTTGACAGACGGATATCTCGCCTACGTCATAAATGGCGCAAGTTGGCAAAAGCTAGTCGAGCCTTCTGTATCCGTGCTGAGATTTCGTCACACACCAGGCCACAAGGGCTGATAAGACTCCCAAGATAAGTAAAGCGGTCGACACGCTCATCTACTTCACTCCCTATCATTAGTTCAGGTGCCGATGCAGCCCAATCCTTAAGCAATATCTTGCATTTCAAAGGGGAGAATCGCATCCCGAACGTGCTTTTATTGTTGCTTACGGTAGCCAAAAGATTCTTCATTTTATCAGCGTCTTCACCAAATGGAACCATGTCATCGGCATATTCTAGGTCAACAAGTGGATCTCCCGGTAGAAGTTCAACTCCTAGAAATTTAGATGAGAAAAGTGTCATCTCTCAAAGCACGTCAACGACAAAGTTAAACAAGAATGGAGAGAGTGGACAGCCATGATGAACACCACTTGAGGTAATCAATTCTGATGATAGTTCGCCATAAGTTCTCACTCGACCAGTTGTGTTCGAGTAGAGATATTTTATAAGGTTAATGTACTTCTTTGGTACTCCTTTCAGTGACAAACACTGTCATAGAACCTCACGATCAACAGAGTCAAATATCGCCATAAGGTCGAGAAATACTATTGTGAGAAGTCTAAATGTGTGTCTATGTTCTGGTGTGGTTTGAATATCTAATCTATACAGCCACGTCCAGGTCGCAAACTAGCCTTGTTTTCTCTAGTCTGCTCTTCACGGGCTGTAGTGACTCGTCGAAGTATTATCGAAGCTAATATTTTAGACACTATATTAGTCAAACTGATTCCTCTGTGACTGTCATAAGAGGACTTTTGGCATTTCTTATAGACCGGCACAATCAGCAATTGAGGTTTCACATCCCTTCAACTGGTGCTCTTGGATTGATTGGAACATTTTTGTCTTCATGTCAGCTTTCCATACATTACAGCGAGCATAAATGTCAGCATTGAATACCATGTTAGAACTGATTCCGAATATGATAATCTAGTAATTACTTCTCCCAATCATTGGTAGTCATTTTGGGGGGGGGTGTAAGGATTTATTTAACGACAGACGATGAGTTTCGTCAATTACGTCGAGCTGGACCATTAATATAACGGACTAGAGCTAGTGAGATTATGAGTTCTATTGGTTTCCGGTCGAATGAGTCTGTTGATGATCCGTCTTTAAGTTAATAGAACGTCAATGAAGTTAGCACGTATAAGACTTCTGCATCTATTTAACCAAGTTTGCTACTTATTAAACGAAGAAATCGTTTGACATGGATTCACAGATTCTATGTAACTCAACTAACTTGATGTTTTATCAACTACGGTTCATTCGACGTCGTACCAATTCACATTTTTCTGAATTTTGTGCCACTGTTTAATGGCTTGCATAGTTAAGACTTTCAAACAAGAGGCAATACCACTTATCTTACCATCTAATCTATCAGTTTTGCAGTGCAAGAAGCCCATCGGTCATATTTTATTGTCACTTATTTCTGAAATAGACGATGATTCTTGAATTGCACTGATTCCAGGACTTCCTGTGTTATTTATATTACTAATTTCAGCCACTTTTGTTTAGATCTTTATGATCACTGATGCAGTGAACAGTTAGTCTTGTTTAACGCTTTATTACCCTCTTAAAGGTTTGGTGATTACTTAACTCCAAGCTCTATGAATACAAAAAGATTTCTGAATGAGGTTCTTCACTCTGTTACGAGATTGTTCGTTTGTTTTGATTTATTTAACACGGTAACTTAGACTAACACTATTGACTCTAAATCTATGGAGTTTTAGTTCATTTTTTAATAACAAGTTAAACTACGTAGCTGAAATAAGAGTTACGTTCATAAGACTATTTCCGTAGACAGTCAAATTTTGACTGTCTTTATATTTTGTATATTTAATTAATTCTGACACTAGCTTGTTAATTAGAGGATTGATACGTTTGAAATCATGTTCAAACCTTGCCTTCAGATCAGCAGACTCATAGTGGACTCACTATGATTAGAATGATCCTTGGAGATGTTATAGCTTTCTCCAAGTTGGGTTCTAGGGTGGGTTCGTTTGTTTTGCATTTAAATTCAAGAGATAAATTCGGTTCACCAAACAACATCAATAAAACGAATCCGAATTAACTGTTGTGAGCAAACTACAGTTCATTTCTTTCCAGAAACATTTTCACCGATGAATGTCAAAGACATTCTTTCAACATAGGTCCAACACAAAATAAACCTCGTTTCACAAAAACTAGCTTCTTTCCTGATGTTACTTGCATTTATAATTGTTATGATTTACAGAGTTTACATAAAACTTTCTTTAATTTCAACCTTTTATAGAATCTGTGTACTCGTTAACTTGTAATGAATTAATTAGAATTTAGTTATTTATTCTGAAACCTAAAGTAATTCATTAACTTCTATTATTTTTTTATGCTGTTGGAATAAAAAATTCGGTTTTTACTGATAATTGCTCTAATCTTGTAGACATTCCCATTTTACTAAACTAACTTTCTCTTTGAAACTACCGAAATTACTTATTTCCATTAAAGTATTTAGTATGCAAGTCATAATCTTAATTAACAAATAGGCCATCTAATTAATTTAAATGTGATATATTTTGAGTATTTAAACAAAATCAAAGATTTAATCTTATACATATTCAGTTGAAGATAAATTACCAATCACTTTGTTGCAGATATATTTTAATATAGTAATTGAATTCATGAGTTAATTGAAGCTAGACCACCATGGAAGACCTGAAAGTACTGAACGGCAGTCTTATCCAAGTATGGGACTCATTAGCAGTGTGCATCCACGATCCCGCCCAGCGAGATTCGGACCAATGGATTGGTTGAAGTTAGACATTAACACCATTGGATGTCAGCCAGCTCAGTGGTTTAAAGGTCAAACGTTCGCGCGCAAGACAGATAGGTTCTATGTTCGAATCTCGCTAGGCGGGATCGTAGATGCACACTGCTGAGGAGTCCCATAATTGGATAAGACTGCTGTCCAGTACTTTCAGGATTTCCGTGGTTGTCTAGCTTTAATTGACTCATGAATTCAATTCTTAAATTACTAAAATCTCCACAAAACCTTTCTCTGATTATATTTTAATATATTTCATCTTTCTTATAATCAGAAATCTGAAAATGAATGTGAGTGTTTTACTACATTCAAACATTTGATTACGTAAAGCATTGATAAGAAAGATGAAATTTATTAAAATATATCTGTAACAAAGTGATTTTGTTTAAATACTCAAAATATATCACATTTAAATTGATTAAACGGCCTATTTGTTAATTAAGATTACGACATGCATACTAAATACAAAGGTTCAAGCAAATGCACAAAAAGAAATAGATTATAGTAAATGTGAATATCTTAATTATACCCAGTTCTTTAAAAAGATGATAAACATCTAATTAAAATGTTAGAGATATGTAACGGTAAACTATTGTCCACGTTTTTAACAGACAACTACCTTTTAACATAACTGGTTTAGGTGAACAACAAAAATTATAGTATTTTAAACTTCATTTGAATAATAAAATTGATTTACACGTGATTCAGTTGATTTGTGACTATTATATAGAGTGATTCCAAGTCCTAATGAAATATGCTGAATGTTCAGCATGTAATTACAGTGTTTCTTGCATCCACTAAACATAAGTGTATTGGGGTTTTTCAGTTAAGATATTTATGATCATGCAAATCAGTAGCTAATATTTCAATCTTACTCTTGTATTTGTTCCGCCGTATAATAAACAAATTATTGTATTTTCTTCAGAATTGTTGATCGAAATGGTGATGGACATCTGGATCCTGATGAAATAGCACTACGAATGTCTAAAATATTTAATAAAATTACTAAAGAAGAAGTTAGACTTCTACTTGATACAGTAAAGATGGACGAAGATCAAACATTAGATTGTGAAGAATTCGGTGCTCTTTTAAGGTCTGGGTTTTCCGAAGCAAGGAAGTAAAAGACAATAACTATACTTTCTTTCTAAACTATACTATTTTTTGTTAATAATGTCAGTTTTGTTTATCGTTCTTACCGTAGTTTTTCCATACATTTTAATTTAGCTATAAGTAAGCACTATTATGCTTTCATTATACGACAAATAACATGTACTTTATTATTCTGTTATGATGACGAAAAATGCTTAAATAAATTCCCCATATAAAATGTGTTCTCTAAATGATACTTTTTGAACTTATAATTTGAAACCGACCGTTTTTATTTAAATATTTGGATCTGACAATAATGCAAACTCTAAATTGTTTCGTTTCAAATTTGGCTGACTTTATAAAGAGATTCAACTACTTTCTTGAAAGACAAGTTGTACTGTTAAGAGAAAATTAGTACTCCATAATGGAATAGAGGAAAATATTTTTATTCAATAAGAGCGTAACATCGGCAAATTGATTTTGTACAAATTGAACTTCGCATTCGATTTATTGAATAGTAAACTAGTATTTATTATATATGAAAATTATATTTGAAATAATCTCAGCGATTGAAATTTAAATAATTCCAACGTTTCGTCCAGCTAAGTTGTCTGGACTTCTTCAGGGTAATAATCAAAGAAATATATAGCTTGACAACATTTTAATCGTTTAAAGATCCCCGTCATATTAAAAGACTAGTATTTGAACGAAGAATATTCTTTTCGAGAAATTCTCTTCAGGTTCTACAATTATATATCCAAATTAATAATCGGAAAATAGGCGAAATACAAACTGTGAAGAAGAAATCCCTGTTCATGCCTCTACAACTCAGAGGGGATGCGGCCAGTGAAATATTAACTCAGAGACTACGTAGGACAATACAAAAATCTTTTAAAGCCGGAGAGCTGTGATCAGTGTTTTCTACGCGCCCAATGGTGACACCGAGGCTAAAAAATGAATTACCTAGAATGACCACCTCATTTTGTATTTATCAGTTCGACTGCTCCTATGGAGCGAGTTATATCGGTCGAAGTTCTAAGAATTTACATTTTCGTGCTCGTGAACGCCTCCAAGTGTGGCTAAACAAAGGTTTGGTGAAGAAAGTGAACAGCTCGATATTGGCCTATTTAGTACAAATTGGTCATAGCGCCAGTATAAACCAATCTTTTTCAATTATTTATGAGGTCAGTAATTTTTTGCCCAAACTGGTCAGACTGAAAGTCCTTCAAACGACTGAAGCAGAAGCCATTGGGATGAAGAAACCGGAGCTATGCGTACAGAAGAAATGTCTTCACTGAGAATGGATTCCATTTTTGGTTGATGTTGACTGCGATGGCTTACATTAATTAGAAAAGTAAGTAAACTCGAATCTTGTGAAATTGTTAAACAAGGATGGGTAAAATTTATTAAAACCTATGGGTTTGGCATATCGTAATTTATATGGATTACCAAAAATTCATAAGCCTAACACCTCCCTACGTCCAATTCTATCAATGTGTCGGTCGCCTACACACAACCTTGCGAAATGGCTTACAAAAGTACTAAATCCTGTCCCAAATCAATATTATAAGTATTCATTGACTGACTCATTTGAATTGATTCATTACTTAAAGGACATAAATATAAAGACAAAGACAATGTGCACTTTTGATGTGAATACTTCATTTACAAAGGTACCTCTCAGGAAAACTGTTGATATTTTGTGTGACTATATTTCTTTGAATAACCTTCCACTACCGTTTCCTATTAACACTCTTAAAGATTTGTTATTATTGTATACAGATAATGTAAAATCAATCGTATTTGTACTAGTTATACTCTTGAAGTTGAGACGAAGCTCCTGACTGATACGTTAGTGAATAATGGTTATCCCTCGAAGTTCATAAACCGCTGGAAGGGTTGCAATACGAATAGACCTATGACGCTTCTGGCACCCAAAAAGTGAGTTTATATTACGTTATCATTCAGAGGCTACACAAATAGTTTCATGTTGAAACGGAGACTAAAATTAGCTATCAACCGAACATTTCATGCAGCCCGACTTGTCATTATTGAAAAGTCGAAGTCTACGTTTCACCAAAAGCCCAAATAGCACGAAAGCGATTGTGTCACATTCCATTGTGTCTATCAATTTACATGTTTGTGTGGAAAACACGTACATGGGGAGGATCAATCGTGATTTACAATTAATGGTGGGTGAACACACATACCAAAATGGTTGCAAAAACAAATGGATTCCAATGGTCAAATAAGATCACAGGATAGACAGACATCATTCTCCATTGCGAAACATTTAATTGAGACAGTTCATAAGGTTGACATCAAATCAGCATTTGTACTGTTGTACAAAAGCCTTCAAAGGCTATTTGGAAATTGAAACCCCCATCATGTGCTCATAAACAATTTGTCCTTACACTAAACCTACCCTGGCAACACTGTTTTATTATCGAGAGTGGTTATCAGATTGTTTTTATGTACTTTATTATTTATTTGTCACCGCTTACCTTTAACCTGTCTAGTTTACCTTTTGATTTCTATATAAAAATATCTTAACAAGTATATGTGTGATCATATTGTTCGAAATGTATTGCGCAAATATATCACATATTTCTGATAAACTTCGACTTCTCATTGCATTATCGAAATAGTAACATCAGTCAATTGTAATTAAAAAATTGAACCGTTCAAGGTTCAATTATCCGAACACTCCTTATTACATCATCTTATAATTTTATAAATGTTATCTCACTGTCTATATTTTTCTAATCATTGACCAATTTCCGATTATATAACATTGATTTGAGCCTTTATTATTCTTATCGAAACTTGTACACCTGTCATCGCACTATAAATTTGTACTCTTCAACTATTGTGTAATCGTTGTCATTGTTATCATTAACTCATAAACTACCTTGATTGGTTTAATAATTTCTCATATGCATATAAATATTACTGTACATTAGAGTAAAGCCTGATGAGGATCTAATAGAAAACAATATTGTTCGTTTATATATGTTGTTCTAAATTGTAATTGACACAAATCTTTGTATTATTATTGTTATTATTATTATTACTACTGGTTAAATAACAACATGAATCTCCTCTACACATGATTCATTCACTTCGCATTTATCCCTCCTCATTACGTCTTACTAATTTTTCCACTAAACATTTGACCGAATTGTAATTGCACTATTATTTCTCTCACCCTATCTGACCCATATTTATTCTGATCATGGATCTTAAATTTCACTTAATATATACGCAGATTCAGGTTAACATTCTATCTGAGTCATATCAACATTAACAATTTTATTGTATTTTGTTTATCACAATCCTAAATTCACATGCTTTAAACGATGTACTTCGCCCTTGAACTGGCCATTTTTCGGATTATTAATTTGGATATATAATTGTAGAACCTGAAGAAAATTTACCGTTAAGAGTATTCTTTGTTCAAATATTAGTCTTTTAATATGATGGGGATCTTTAAACCATTAGCTATATCTCCGTCGATGTTGCTGCCTTACTCAAGAACTTTTAATGTACACATATATAATGATAGATATCGATAGATATAGATTTCGGGGCATACACACAGTATGCACATATGCCAATAAGAGGTTGAACAATTTCTGTCCTAAAACATCAATAGGAAGATTGAAATAAAACAATATCATATGAATCTAATCAGTTATTATTATTATTACCTTATACAAGTTTTCTTGATTATTATTCAGTCTATTATTATGACCTTTGTGTTTGTCGCTTTTCTTCATATCTGTCAACTGGGCTATTATCCGACCTATAAACGATTTTCTTCCTTACCCCTTGATTTGTGCGTAACCCCGTTTGTTATTTTCGTCGAATTCATTTCGGTGATGCAAAAAATTTTTTCTATCTTTTAGTAGACATACATTTTCCATATCAAACTATATATACGAATGTACAGCTTAAGTAAACAATTTCGTCGAAAAAAAAATTTTCTTCGCTGAATTCTCTTTTTCTTATTCAATAAAGGGATAAGTAAAAAAATAAAAGTGCAAGTTCAAGGTTGAAAAATTGTTAATGAATCATCGATGTACATATCAAACTTAAGAATCAAACAAATACATAATTTCACTCATGATCTTAACCAGTGAAATTACTATAATATCCACAAATCCTCCTCTGGTATTAATCAGCATATGCTCATTAGTGACTAGATTCAAGTGGTATTTCCTTGAGTTCTAGTAAGAAGCAGAGACCACTGGTGTTCAACCGGGTCAGTTGTGAGATAGTAATTCACTGAAGACAATAGTAGACGTGTCATTCAATTTCATGAATTAGTTAAAGTTAGACATGAACACTGTTGGACGACGGCCATCTCAGTGGTCCAATGACTAAGCGCTTTCGCGTGAGACTGATAGGTCCTGGGTTGAAATCTTGTGAGGCGGAATCGTGGATGCGCACTGCTGAGGAGTTCCACAATATAACGAAACGGCCGTCCAGTGCTTCCAGGTTTCCCATGGTGGTCTATCTTAAATTGACTCATGATCTTAACCACTGTGTTGCTAAAACCTCATTGAAATTCAGTCAAAAATAACGATGCATTTGAAATAAACAGGTTGAATAAAGATAGGGTTCAAATTACTTGCCAAACGTAATTTGCCAGGTAGTCGCCAGTTGAATACCATCTTTTCGGTTCAGGCTGTTCTTGTTCGCCCATATATATATACAGTACTTCTTCTGTCAATCTTTCCTTATGGGTGTTAAAACTTTTCTGAAGTATTTTTGTCCCTTCAAAATTGATCTTGTGTCCTGTTTCTAACGCATGTAACGCAATCGCAGACTTATACTCTAGCTTTTTTCAAACCAACCGAGGATTTGCGTACATTTTTCAAACATTGTCTGTGTTCCTTCAACCTTACATTCGATTGTCTGGATGTTTCTCCAACATAGGCTGCATTACAATCATGACAGTTGATCTCATACACAATATTCTGTTGTTCTTCCTTTGGTAAGCTGTCTTTAACTTTCACTGATGTCGATCTTAAGGTGTTAGTCGCCCTAAAATACACTCTTATATCATGTTTGTTTAGAATCCTTATGAGTAGAGAATATTTTATTTAATTCAGTTCCTTGGTCTTTCTTATCTGTTACAAGCTTAGTGCTTCTGTTCATTAAATTTTTTACAACGTTAATTTTCGTGCATTGTGTATGTGCTGAATCAAAATCTAAGTATCTCTCGGAATGTGTTAATTTCCTGTAA